AGTAAATTTATCGTTCTATTTACATGTCATAACAATTATAACTATACGTTATACTGCTTCCGTTTGTTTTTTCTGTGCAGTTCAACCTAATTTACTTAAATTTACGTTGCGAGACAGTATAATATTTACAATTCTGCCGGAAATTTTGAAATTCAGAAAAACACAGGTAAACATCCATTGCATTTAAACGATATTCTCCACCAAACTGGACAAAGTACAGTAACATTTATACTTTCACTAGTGGAATCGACTCTACATTTTACTGACACTTGTGGAATCGACCCTACATTTTTTTTTTTTTACGTGGAGGTATACCGACTCTATGTGATTAAACCTTTTCCATCCTTCGGAGAACGGCGTAGTAACCACATGCGTCGAAGGTTCCAATCCTATCGGACTTGTTGGAGTACAACGTATTAACCACATACGTTGAATGTTCTGACCGGTCCATCACAAGCCTTGTCAACGACGTGTTAACCATACACGTTGAACCTCCACCTTTTCCATCCTTCGGAGAACGGCGTAGTAACCACATGCGTCGAAGGTTCCAATCCTGTCGGATTTGTTATCAACCTCGTATCACCCTCATACGGTGAACGTTCTGACCGGTCCACCAACCCCTTGTCGTCAACGTATACGTTAAAAACTCCAAACCTTACCATCCTTAGGAGAACGGCGTAATAACCACATGCGCCGAAGGTTCCAATCCTGTCGGATTTGTTATCAACCACGTATCACCCTCATACGGTGAACGTTTTGACCAATCCACAAACCCAAACCAATATTACGCTCCGTGTGAGGACACAATAAGCGTAACCCGTAACACACTCAATAAGTATTAACATTAGATGGTTTCCTCGATATGGCCATGGTGGTCATCAGTGACTGGAGTGCCTCAAATGTTTAGAATAATTAAAATAAAATAAATGTTGCCAACTAAAAATTTTGAACGTCATAGCTAGCTAGACATTATTTTCACTTGAAAAAAAAAATTACAAAGCATAAGACTATAATCCTATGCTTAAAATGTATTTTCTTGCGGCCGCCTGACAGGAACCTGTAAATCTGGCACGACAGTGAACGTGTTAATAAGTAAATGTTGTTCAAATTATATCGTGTTTGATATCATTTTCATCAGAAAAATCTCAAGCGAGATAACATGGGCGCAGCAATGACGCAGACCGAGGCGTAGGACCATCTATACTGTCACTTGTAGAATCCGAACTTACTGACTCTTGTATAGAATTTGCTGTACTTTGTTTCATTCGGCATGCTCGAAATCCACTCCGACGTTCCATTTCCAAGAATTGGTGGGGATAGCGACGGACGTTTAAGTGGGCAAAATTACGGACGCTTATGTGTGCACTACTGTATGTACGTACTTACAGGTTCTAAAACTATACTCTAAAGATTTTGTCCTTCTGCTACAAAATGCAATAGAGAAGAGTATAGATATGCTTTCTTGCGAAAAATCGGGAAAAATGATTTAAAAAAAATGTTTCGTCCACGGTGTTCCTCCTTTAAAATCATTCAAATTGTGCTTCAAACATTTCTCATATCGTTAAAAAGAGAAGAACTATTTAGGTGGCCTCCTTCAGCTGAGACACCTTATACAGGGTGTCTGTTTTATGAAGTGATGTTAGGGAAAAAATGTTTCAACAAAAGTTGTTTGGTACGGAGGGGGGCATTACGTGGTATAAATATTTTTTGTGTACCAGGTATGGTGGGGAAGATTTCAATGGAACGCTATATTTTTTTATACATAATATGATAGTGCATGTTAAGACGAGTCCAACGAGATACGAACAAAGTCATTTCCTTTGATAAAACAGACACACGCGACGGTGAGGAAGGTATGGTGGTTCGGCACCCAGTTTTTCGCAATTTTACGACCTTCCATGAAAAGAAATGACTTTGTTGGCAGCTCGTTGAACTTGTCTTTACATACACTATCGTATTAGGTATAAAAAAATATAGCATTCCATTAAAAAAAATTAAACTGACTTTGAAATACATAACGTCCCCCTCCATACCAAACAACTTTTATTAAAACATTTTTTTCCTAACATCGTTTCCTTAAAAGATATTTCACCGTATTGAGATAAAACAGACACTCTGTATACATATGCATACAGTGTTCTGTCGAACTACGCGTAGGTTAGAGGCGTTGACTGTTACCGCGGAGATGGAAATCTATGCAGTTGTGAACAATCCCCCGGCTTTACGGAAAACTGAAGTCTGATCATCTGCACTGCGTGTCAATTGTCGTATATTGTCGTTAAAATAATAACAAACGAAGTAGGTCGTGTGTAAAGACTTAGTTGTTTACTAAGAGACAGTGTTTTTCCAGAAAAGGATAGAATATGTACATATATGTCTCGGGGAGACAACAGTAAAAAAACTAATCTGTTGTTGTTTCATAGCTATAACACATTTTATTACAAGAAAAATAAACCTAGGATACGATAAAACGAAATTGTTGCAGTAATTAATCTAATTAGCTATACGTTGGCTCTCCTCTATTTTCAGTTAACTCAATCATTCGATTGCGTACGTATATATGCATACATATTATTCACGCATACACATACCGTGAAACTGTAGCTGTGTAGCTTGTAGAGACACACTTCTCGTTTAATTTTCCTCCCAAGCTGAGCTGTTCCTGGTGTACTTGAATTCGATGCACAAGGTTCTTGTATGCAGCGGCACTTAATTCACACGAACGAATATGCTAAGTACGTAAATTGATTCGAAATCCACGCACAATCGAAACCGCTGTATTCGAGGGAGCACTGAATTTTCTGCAAGACTATGATCGCACGGTGCAAACGTCGTTCGTTGACGCACTCGTTCGGTAGGCCCGTAAGCACTAACTGCGTACGTGACGATCTTCCCGATTTCTGCTCTCTGTTACACGAAGCAATTCTAGGAAAAATCCTAGGCGTGTGAGTGACCCTCAAGTATGTAACTTGGGCCTAGTCAACCTCACGTACCAAAACATTGCGCGAGGCTCGCGATGTTTTTTGCGAGTGAAACATAAGAAACTCGAGCAAAACATACGAAATTCGAGCCGAACATAAGAAACTCAAGCAAACCTCGTGGTCTGCATTATATCGAACTAAACACGAAGCTACGTGCCATTTTGAAAGTAAAACTATCGCGAGTTGCTCTCGAGAGTATCTCTCGCGAGTGGACACTGCCCCTGAGCTTGACTGTTCGAGAGTATAGCTCAACTGCCTGAGAGTAAACGTGTCGAGACTTGCTCTGGAATGGATACGTAATCATACTACTGTTGAACAGTTGCTTTCCAAACACGAAGTAGTTTCATATTCTTGAGAGAACTCTCGTGCGAGTAAAAGATGTCAGGAAAAGAAATTGGTCGAGAAATGAAATTACGGATTTAATCACTCACACTTCGTTGAAGAAAAATCGGTGTTATGGAATCCAAAGGATGTAGAATATCGTAACAGAGAAAATTGTGAATATATGAGAAATATGTAAATTGATTTGAAATGAACGTCAAAATTTTTCAAAAAACTATCCGCGTATAATCGCGTAAAACGCGTTCTTTGAGCGAGCACTGTATTCCCTACAAGACTATAATCGCGCAGTATAAGCGACGTTCGTCGTTCGTCGTTCGTCGACGCACTCGTTCGGCAGCCTCGTAAACACTGACTGAGTACGAGTCGTCCTACCCGATTTCTGATCGCCGTACGCTCGCAACTGTTCCGGGAAAAATTCGAGGCCTTAACTTCTTAGAATACGCGATATTTCTTGCGTGCCAAACATAAGAAACGCGAGCCTGGGTTACGGTACGTACATCGAAATAAACATGAAGCTAGCTGCCTGTTCGCGCACAGAAAAGAGTTAGCGGGAAAAGAATTTTCTGATTTTATATTACTTTTATTGGCAAAACCGAGAACAAACGTCACACACAAAAAAAAGAAAAAAATAACAATTACATTTTTCGTTCCATAGGATGCGTAGAATCATGCTATAAAAAAATTTTTCGTTCCGGCTGTATGCCAAGATTGACCTTTTTTTAACATCCTCCTTTAAGAACTTTTTTTTTACAAATTTAAGATATCAAAGTAAATTGCAAAATTGATTGTGGATCCATAAAAAATTGGGAACGGATTTAATATTGTTCAATATTGATAGTGTATTTTGTGTACTTTTGGTTATCAACTCAATATAACTAATAATAAATTACATGTGAATCAGAAAATAAGATCGCATAAAGGTATGTAAAAATTAAAATTGAAATATTAATACGAAATGAGAAGCCGTAAGCAATTCGTGAAAAATTAGTAGGAGATTCAATATTGACCTAAATTGATAAGCAATACCAAACGTTTGATTGGTAGTGTAATTTAAAGAATATCTCATCAAAAAGTTACAAAAGAATATTAAATATCAGGCTAATAGTAGCTTGGTTTAACACATCAAAATTTATTATACAATATTTATATACTTCATAAATTCATTACACAAAAATATTTTTTCACACTTACTTATAGAACCTACCAACACAGTTGAATTTCTTAATCTCAGAGCCCCCTGCAGTTTCCTCCATTTAAACACCATAAATCATCCTCTGCGCCAATTATCCATTTCACACTTTCACGGTAGTTTCGTCTGTTATTCCATTCATTCTTTCCATCAGTTCAACACAATAAACTAAACTCCTCTAAGACCTATTTCTCCCCGTCATCGTAACTTTCTCCAAAAACTTCCGAAAGTTTCACAACTGGCTCGCATTAATCATCCAGTAACCCGGTGCAAATTCAATGACACTGAACGCATTAAAATTACAAGCCGTAATTAACACGGAATTTGCCGTAGTACGGGGCAAGATAGAAACTTCCTCCGTTTTCCAAAGAAATATTTCATACATCCTCGAGTAGGATTTCTCGCGAATGGCGAGCAGAGGAAACGAGCAAGTTTGTTTCCGAACTGGAACGGGGCGATTCGAGGATAACTTTAATTCGCCGCGACAGGAGCAGAAGTTGGAGAAACTGGAGGGCATGGTGGCGCTGGGGAACACGGACGCTTACAAATTCTACAACCAGACGATTCGTACCACGAGGAGTCACTGCATCCGGTATTTGCATACGTTAGACCAGGGACGATACGACGACGAGGGTGGCACCACGAAGCTCGATCGCCATCGCGTGAACCTCTGCCGTAAAGAGATCGAGAACGTCCTGAAGAGGATCAAGATCAACGGGGAACTTCCGAGCAATCACTACACGAGGATCGCGATGGCGCATGCGTATCAGTATTTGGCCAAAGTGAAGAAACTAAGGGAGGATGTGAGTTCTTGCTTTATGTTTCCTTGTCAGGCGAAGTTTCTGCATTTTGGGAAATTGCGAATTTGTAAGGCGAAACTTAACCCTTTCGCTACGGCAGATTTTAACGCGTAGCGTGGGTGAATGACGGTAAATTTTTAACCACGGCCGCAAAATTTGTTATTTTAGGTCGGATCGTTTTAAAATTCGGTTTATCAGATTAAGGGGAAAGTGCGTAAAGGATGAAATTAAGTATTAAATTACGGTGGAAGTGCACCAAGAGGCTCCAACAGAAACAGTATAAGCGCCAATAGTAACGAAAGGGTTAATAATTGATGTTTCATTTTCATTGAAATTTTAATGGAAGAACTATAGGAATAGAAAATGGAGAAATATTTCATACAAATTTCACCCTTTGATGCTATTACTAAAAGATCTAAGTTAGGTCGCTACTCCTTATCCCCTCAGAAATAAGCTTCCCTTCGTTATTTGTTTCTATTACTAATACAAGTTATACAATCACAACAATTTTCCTTATTTTTACGTTTAAATTAACTTCCACGTGCATTTGATTGATCTGTAATCCTCAAAGTTCACTTTCTATAAGAAGAGGCCATGTGGAACGGCTTTGATCGAGTAACTCTTTGACTTTACTCGAGAAGCATCCCATTGATCTTCAAAGTATTCTTCCTCAAACAATATCTTACTCTACAAAAACAAACTTCCCAAACAACAAGAAAGAACAGTTGTCGTCGATATCTCGTAAATTATCAGCTCTCTGCAGCAACAATCCAGCACAAATTTTCTTATCTTTTTTCGAATCGCTCTCTACCTACGAACTTTCACCGATATTTCTACGCTTCTTCAAAGTTTCCTTGTTCTACTTCAAAAGCAGATTCCTCGCGGTCCATAAAAAATTTCCACGGGACGTTCTCGCGGAGACATACAATTCCATTTAAATTCCCACTGTTCTTTCGCCGCGTGCTCGCGATGAAAGGTAGAAAGCAGCTTTTAAACAGCCCAAGACGAAAGTGGAAACTTTGGTGTTTGGCAGAACTTGTTTCGGTTCGAAACCAAGGGAAAAAAGACTGAGACGCGTAAAAGAAAAGGCACCGAGTTTCGCGAGACTTTCTACCTTCGTTCGTGATTTCGCCCGTGGCGCACAATTTTCCATGGACGATGCACGAGGAAAACGACGCGCTGACCTTTTCTCCCCGAACACATCCTCCTCGATGTGTCCGTGAAATATTCAAAACTGGAACGTCCTTCTCGTCTCGCGTATGCAACCTCCATGGAAAATTCATTCCAGACCAAGAGCAACAGAAGACTCCTTACGAATTTACCAGCCCCAGCATAGCTTGCCAGACGTTTTCATTTGGATGATGGCCGGCTCGAAACGGGCTGCATACGCGCGATTTCCAGCTGACAGGATCATATATTCGAAAGAGACGACCGAGATAGGACCGATGTGCGGTCGAAAGATGGACGTATTCCTGAGTAATCCGAAGGACGAGGAAGGGGCTGATTATGTGGCTTGCAAAGTAGAAATGTACCTCTGGCTAGGGAACGCTGAACACGTAGCCGCCTGCTGGTCCTCGATTCCACCTGGATACAAGGTGGATCACGAAAGGAGCATCGACTCGTTCCCGAAGTACTTCGAGTACACTTCTTCCACGGTATGATAATAGAAGGATGCAGAGGGAAAATCAACCGACAAGGCGGCATCTCCAAGTGATAATCACCGATATTGATGAAACTTAGGTATATATGTCAGTACTCGAAAAAATATTTGACACGTATTTCTTTTTATCGGCAATCGTCTGCATTAAAGGGATGAAAATCGCTCTCAAGGGAAGATATAAAAAACATATTTGTTTTCAATTCTTCTTCGTTATTTTTTAATTTTCAAATTTGTTGGTGGAAAATAGAAAATCTGTACATTTAGACTGTTTCCCTTTCTATAATAGTTTTCGAGATATTAAAGTTAACACAGGGTGGCTCAGCTAAATGGGATCACCTAAATATCTGCTTTATTTGTTGTATGAAAAAACTTCTCAGGACAAAGTTACACTATTTCAGGGGGGACGTGCAATCATAGAAACGATTTTTTCTTAAAATCATTTTTTTACGAGATTTCAAGGTCATTATTATTTCTTTAAATGGAACTCTATATTTTTTTTCAATATGCTTGTAGAGAGTGAAAAAATAAATTCAACGTCCTTAATACCATTTCTTTCATTCAATTTTGAGATATTTCCTTCGAGATTTTTCTCGAGAACTGTACTATGTACCAAAGTTTCACCGAAATCGGTGATTTTCACTTCAAGACGTTCCCTCGTGGATCTAAAAACTGAAATTTTGCAGGAAGAAACAAATAAAGTTTGAAAGACACGAATGATTAAATTTGCTGCTTCAATGCTTGCTATTTTAATTTACTTGCAAAATTGATTATTTAATTAAACAATCTCTTGACCGTGTTTTAACTGTTTATATGTTAAAGAATAACAATGATAATAAAAGTAATTTCTTGCCGGTGAAAATTACTGGGACAAGGTCAAGTTTCGACGTTTTTTCGTTTGTCCGAGCTTTAATTAATGTCCTCATTGAAGGTACGGAGAAAATGAGAGTACCTGTCCTTTTTTCTTTCTCCCTCGAGGAAAAATACTTTTTTCTTCAATTGTCTGTTTAGTTTTACCGGGAGGAATTGTATAATACTTCACGGTATTACTCAGATTTTTGTCTTATTTTTACGTTCGATGCTTGAGATTCCCCTTTTTATTCTGTTCGACTCGACGGCTTCTTGGAATTGATATTATTTTTTAATCTTATTACTTATTATCTTCTATCTCATTTTCCACTGCTTGCTAATTGGTTGAAATATTGCTTTTCATGTGCAATCAACGTTTGATTAATTCTCGGTAAAAAATATTAGAAACAACATGTGCTGCGTATTGTTATTAAACGTTTCACTTTACATGGATATCCCCGTTTCGTTTAATTACTTCGTTATGCTATCTGGTTAGAATTTTAATTACAGCTGTTACGAATTTTCATTGTGCATTCACGTTTAACGGTTGGGACTTCATCTTTATTATACTCTGTTCTTCATAAATTGCTTTCATTAAAGGGCCCTTCGTTGGAGTAAACATTACGACAGCAGAATTCGCAGGAAACTTAATGAAAAAAATTATTTTCCGTCGAACGTCAGTGTTAAATTAAAGAAACTCATGCAATCCAAACAACGATACGCGTCTGTTACAACAGTAATGAGAAACGTAATTTAAACCATCCTAGCAAAGCATTCCCCGGGCGAACACGCCTTTTTACACAGAACTGAGTAAGCATTTAATAGTTCTCTTTACGTTTCTCGTTAAAGTACCTTCCATTTATAACCCCTTTTAACAACTACTCTGATACCCTACATTCACCACAATATCAGACTTTTCACCGTCGGTACACAGGCCTAATCATCGAATTGCACCTTGTCGCACGACCAAACAGCAACCTGATCAAAGAACTTTAATATCGCAATTCGAACGAGTCGCTGACAGTGACGTTCAACGATACAAAAATTGGCCTTGATCTTATGCAAATTTGAATAATCGGTGTGTTTGAATGTTCGAATACCAGTAGAATTCGAATTTCGATTTCGAACAGTTGAACTGTTCGAATAATTCGGATAATTCGAGTATTTGAAGTGTTTGGATGTCGAGTAATTCAGATAATTCAAATATTCCAAGTGTTTGGATGTCGAGTAATTCGGATGATTCGAATATTCAAAGCGTTTAGATATCGAAAAATTCAGATAATTGAAATATTCAAAGTGTTCGAATATTCGAATTTCGAATAGCGCCGAATATTTCATACATTTCGAATATTCGAATAGACGGTATGGCTTACAAATTTCGGTGTACATATTACTCCGTTCAAAAACTTCCCAGCGATTCCTCTCAGATCCTCAGAGATTTAGGAACTTAAAGAAATCGAGAATTGAGTAACAGAAAATGATCAAAATTATAGATTCTTCGCGGTCAGAGGTTGATTCAAAACACTGTGCGCGGCATGCCGACGCAGCGGAGAAGTCAGCAAACGTTCGTGTGACAGTCAATATGTTAAATGTTTGATAAAAACAAATGGATATACGTCTAACGAACGTTATCACGTTAGTTTGCTCTACGATTACGTTTTCCAGGCATTCCAACTACGTGCTCACGTGTTCCAAGGTCGTTTTGATCCTGGCATGGATGCATCCGGCTTATTGGATCCGATCGTACGCGTCGCGTTTCACGGTTACACGGCTGACACCAGAGTAAGTTTCATATGTCGATAATTCACCCACGCTTCCTGCTGCGGCCGCGTTATTATTACCACGGTGATCTCTTCGGGCTAGTTCCGTGAGCTGGATCGTTATTTGTAAATAGATTTCCACGGAGACCTTTGGCGACCTATTTCGCGGAAGTTATATACGGGCTTCCTCGGATCTTTTACCTGGGTCGATGTGAAATGAAATATTTGGATAAATTGGAAAGTTAGAAAATTTCGAATACCTACCGATAATATCCTTCGGTCTCCTGAGGGTACTCGAGGGAATTAGGGTTATTGGTCTGCATAGGGTGGTTCAGAATTATGGGTTAATCGAGCGGTGGATGATAAAGGATAAAGAAAGGAACAGTTTTTCTTCGATATACGTGTGAAGAATTTTACTGTGTTTTTTTTTTGTGAGGATGATTGGAATATGGAGAATTTAGGGACGAAGTTCATGCACCATGAACTTTTAAGAAATTTCAAAGAATTGTGTTGTAGAATTTAATTCTAGCATTTGAATTCTAGTAATATTTGATATTGTAAATATGGCAGGAATGGCAGGAAAAATTTGAAGCTTATATTAGAATATACTGTGTATGAAGTAATAAGTACTGTAGAATATTGAATGCTACATTCTATTCCAGCTCCATTTTCCAGTGAATTCATTTTGTATGTCGCGATGTATATCGAAATGGCTAAAAACACTGTGAATAATACATCGTATTCCTTTATCGAATATGAAATAATACGAACTATTATTAAAATTTAAATGCGAAAATGAAATATATTTTCCACGTGAAGCATTATGCAATTTCCTCGTCAATACTTCACTGCAATACCACAAAAGCAATTTCGAAACGAAACGGAACAAAAATATTCCTTCTCTCGTTTCTTATCGTCCATAATTTTCGAACACCCCGTATTTGTAGGTTATTAAACAGACACTCGACCCGTTCTGGGACCAAACTTTGATACTGCCTCCCAGAACCGTGTACGGAACGAAGGAGTACATCAAATCGAATCCTCCAAAGATCATTCTGCAAGTGTACGATCAAGATGTATGCGTAAGTAAATTATTCTAAAAAATGTCCATTATTCTTCTTCCAGAAACTTAATTTTTCAAAAATTTTTTAAATTTTAATTAGTCTAAAAATGTCAACACATTGCTATCGAACATATTTTCCAACGAAGAGAAGTTCTTGATATCCATTTAAAAATACTTTAACAGTTAAATTCGCGAGCAGTTACTGACATATACTCACAAAAAAAGAGCCAGCTCCGAGACCAATTTTCAATAGCATTTTTAAACGACCCTTTTTATTTTCGCGACCCTTGCGACCTGCCCCTGCGAGACATGTGCAAAAATTTGCATAATTATGCCAACGTTTAAATAGCCTTGCTCGCAAGTGCAATCGTAGTGAATCTTCGGGGGAACAATATACTCGAATCACTTAGTAGCTGCAAGTATTTCGCCCGGCGGAATTCTGACGAATCGGGATTCACAGGGCATCATGGAGTTCTGCGGTAGATGCACAGCCATGCCATTAGTTAAACTCGCGGAGGAAACTTACTCGCCGCCTGATTTCCCTCCGAAACTTGAGTGGTACAAATTTAAATCGCAAAGGGATTCCAGCGGCTCCGTACTGGCTGCCTTCGAGCTTATAGAGGTGAGAGAGGCAATACTAATCGATATTCGGCTCACGAGAGTGCCCATCCCCCTGCCACCCCGTCTGCTAATGAATCCTCCTGTCATCTTTCGCGCGGATTGATTTCGAGATTAATAGCCCTGCTTACGCACGCGTGTCTTCCGCTCCTTTCTACGGGCGGAAACGCGAATCGAGTGGCGCAAAGGTTAACGTGTAAATATAACACGGTTGTGTAAATGAAAATATACAAATGGATTGATGGTTGTTTATGGAACTGCTTTGCCCGGTTGTAAATCTTCTTTTATATTAGAGTGATTCGTCGTGAAAGAAACAAAGCTGCTTACAAGCAATGAAAATTGAAGGGTTCCATGATACAATGTTGTAAGTACCATTGTACAGACAAGAGATAATAACAACTTGGACTTTTCATTGTTTTTTAAATAAATTCTTCATGCACTTAAAACTTATTTTAAATTAACAAATAAGCTTACGTCTCATTTGTGTTATCACGATAGCGAAGTAAAACAGATCTTCTTCTTTTTTTTTTTTACTTTCTGATAACTGAAACGTTGTGCTGTGAAATTCTTCAATTGTTTCTGTATTTAAATCTCCGGGTATCCGTCGAATTTGAAGAACTTTGAAACTGATTTCACACGATATGTGAACGATTTCTACGCTATGTGTGCCAGAAAGAATGCAACGAATTTGAAAGAAGGACGTATAACTCGAAGTTTTCAGAATAGCAATATTTATGGCAGCTTTGAAGTGAGCTCAAAATATGTTAGACCTGTTAAATACAGCTCTCCAATCCATAAATCACCAAGAAAACTATACACTTCGAGATCTACTTCATTTATCTCCATAAAAAGAACGATCTGTTGCTATAAATAAATTTTGATCGCTACACATATCATTATGTCTATTTGAACGTAACAGACGCATAACTGTCGTAAAAATTGCCCAAGTGCATAGGGAGCAATTAAATACCCCACCCTTCGCTCTATGCTTCACGAAACATTAATCTGACGAATGTGCCCGTATGTTACCGCAGACAAAAGAGGATGATATTGTGGACAGACCTATAGACCCCTCAACGTTGGACGTTATTTACAACATACCGGAAGACATCAGGCCGAAAATGACGAGTTACAGGCTCGAAGTTATATTTTGGGGCGTGAGGGACGTGAGGAAGATAAATTACGTGCCGGTGTTAAAGCCTCGCATTGTTGTAGAGTGTGCTGGGGTCCACGTTAAGTCAGAGGTGATGGAGAATGCCAAGAGATTCAGCAATTACGATAAACCTCATATTGTCGTCGACTTGGTAATAATTTCGATGTCTTCCTTTATGGTCCTTTAACCGCCCTTGGTTAATCTGGTAGAGTTTGACAAACTCAAAATGATATTAATTCTGCTGCTATTGTAATTGTAAAGAGAGGCTCGATTTAGTAGACATTTTCAACATTCAATGAGAATTCAGTGGAACGAGGAAACCTGTGAATTGTAAAAATGACGCGTCAAGTCGAGTTGAGGTTCAATTTATCTCGACTTTTCAACTTTCAATTCCCCTCATTCTACGATCCATTTATGAGATTTCAGTGGTTTGAGAAAATAAGAAGTCTCGAATGACATAAAAATTCACCAGACTAACAAAGGGTTAATTATTGATATAAATTATTTAAGAATACAAATTTTGTGGAAGGAAATGCCCGAGTTAGATATCTACTACCCCTCCGTCACGATAAAAGCATACGACTCACGAGGATTTGGCTGTTTCAAGCATATTGGAATTGCCATCATACCTAGTGTTCACGTGTTCATGGAGCAATTAATAACAGAGGAGGATTATGACAAGCACATACACGGGATTAAACCGTTTTTCAAGCCTCCCTGGACGAAAAGACAGTCTGCTACTATTTGTAAGTCCCTTTCAAACTTCCATTTAATCTATTCCTCTGTTAAAGGTAGAGAAAAATATTTCAAACGAACTATTCCATTTTGTAATAAATGCCATCGTAAAAATTCGTCACTTTCTGTTTGGAAACTCTGTAAATAAAATTCTCTTACTAAAATCATATACAAAAATTAGTTAATAATTATCCAGAATGTATTTATAAGATTTATCAATCTTCCAATAGCGAGATCATAATTTATTACTATCGGCAAATTACTTAAACTGATAAACTGGTATTTATGAATTAAATGCGAATCGTAACAATATGAAAGGTGAATGATAAGATGAGAAATATTTTTTGCACGAAAGATTCATGGGCACGCCTGGTAACGCACGTTTACACACGGCGCGAACATTTCGTCGGTATTTCAAGTGGTTATTAAATATTTGAACGATGTCGTACACCGATTCGGAACTTTCCCGTGGAAAATTAATAACGCCATGGAAAATTTGGCGGTACTCGGACCACGCAACAAAAAACTTTGTTAATTAAAGTTTCACCGAACGTTTATCAGTCGAGGATAAATGTTTTTTACTATTTGAGGAGGTAGCCGACGAGCATCAACTATGTCTGGCCGGAAATCGAAACCGAGATTAACCCCGCGACCAGTTATTAATGGATTTGTCCCTTGATCGAGACGCTACGTTCCTCAGCTCCGACAATAACCGGCGCTCCTATCAATTCACTGGGGATCCTGACAAGAGTTCATTAACCCTGTCTTGAAATGCTCCTTGCAATTCGTTCGAGAATAATCGATTCCCTGCGAATACAATCTTAACCCTTGGGTGATCGAACGAGCACTCTTGAGCTTTTCAATTTTACATTAACCTGTGTATGAAAATTTTAACTAAACTCATTGTCAGTGGAATTATTCTTCTTCAGATATTGAATCCCAAATGAAAATCGTGGAAAAATTGCTCAAGTTTCGAAGGGTTGAAAGTTCAATTTTATGATTTTTGGATGTTGGAAAAGTATTCCTTTTTTTTTTCTTTTTTGAGATATGTATTGAGTCTCAAATGGAATTTCGAAGGAAAAATTGCTCGAATTTTAAAGGGTTAAAATGTTATAAAAAATCAATTATACGATGTTTGGATATTAGGAAAGTTTGAAGGTCCAGAAAGAAATTTAATTTAATCTTTAGCCTTAATTGAGATTCAATTTTTAATTTTTACCATGTTTCTTGGATGTCTAGGTAGACATAACTTCTTAAATATTAGGTTATTTTACGAATATCTTGGATTTATTGCTAACTAACGTTCTAACTTTGCCAAAAAATGAACTTATCAAAGCAGGTTACCTAAAAATATTTTCTTCCGGATGAACACTATGAAAAATCGAATACTTGCGTTCCAAGGGCAACCTTTCGACGCACAATATCATTGCATAATATTTCATTTCACTAATAACATCCACTAAATAACTTACTCTACTCACCTGCCACGTATCACTAAATAAGAAAGAAACTGTCCAAAGATTTTCTCCCATAAATCCAACCTTACTTTCAAGTACCTCTGCCCGCCGAATACGATCCATCGAAGGAGGACGAGAACAAGGAACTGATTCCGTACAAGAAAATGGCCGGAAAGACCTCGATGATAAAAAGGATCCTGCAGTCCCTGAGGAACCTTTTCTCACGGCTATTTTGCAAAAGAGAGACGAAGAAAGAAAATAGGAAAATCCAATGTCAGAGTGAGGACGAATCTCTCGATTGGTGGAGCAAATATTTCGCTTCCTTGGAGGTGGGTTTACAAAGACGAAAGGAAGATGGTCGCAGAACTAATCCGGCGTATGTAAATTGCCGCGGATCTATGGTAAGTAAAACGAGGTGTTTTCAGGAGGAGAGAAGCAGACAGCTGAGAAGCTTTCCTCCCGGCAATCAGAAGCTACCGACAACGTTCAAGGTACCTACGCTTTAGAGAATTTTCACCAGCTCAGCTGTCTCATTGGACGGGGAACAGGTATACGATGGAGAACTGGAGATGCAGCCGCAATTCGCTGGCTTTCAGGACCGTCTGAGAACGTTCGAGCTGTGGAGGGGGCGAAAGAGTGAAGATCCCGACTACGACAGCGATCGTTACGTCGGCAAGTTCAAGGTTTGCCTCGAATTTACCCTTCCAAACGAATCTTTGCATATTGCGAAATATCTACCGTTCACGTGTTACTACGATAAAAATAACAGCACAATTATGTAAACAAACTTCTGGAAAGAAAAAATTACAAATGTTTACGAATTTATTTATTTTTGAAAAAGGCACATCTCATGGAGTGAGTAGAAGGAAAACACTAAGTTAGTTAGTATGAAACGTCGGATTTCTAATCATTCGAAAATTGAACGATCGAGTGATTATTTGAGGGTTGAAAAATAGCACTCTTTAACAGTGAAACTTTTGAAGAACAAAATTATGAATGTTTACGAACTTATTCATTTCTAGTGGAGTATAAAGGGTTAAGAAAAAGTCATATCTCGTAGGGTGAGTAGAAAAATGATATTAAGCCAGCTAGTACGAAATGTCGGATTTCTAATCACTCGCAAATTGAACGCTCGTGTGATTACTTAAGGGTTGAAAAGTTCTGAATTTTTTCGTGTTAACTTAAAGCTCGTATTTAGTCTTCACTTTTTAGCTTCCAGTCATTTTATAAGCTCTTCTTTCTAGAGTTGTATAAATGTAGATATAACTCGATCCGAGAAAACTCGTAGTTTCTTAACAACATCCGAAGTGAACTTTGAACTGTTAATTAGTACCAAATACAGTTATAGTGTAGGACGTTTAAAGCTTACCTCGAATTTTCTGTTTAAACTGTCCCTCGAGATGTTGTGCAACATTAGTTGAAAAGTGTGGCAGTTAAGATTTGTAAAAGCAAATTATTCGAAAGTTTAACTTTCGTTATTTATCCTCTGAAGATTTTACGAGGTGTGAATGGTATGTTTTATTTAAAAAGACGCTCGTAGAAATTTCTCGACAGCATTCGAAGTTCACCTCGAACTACCAACTAACAAGTTCAAAGTCTATTTAACGAACCGCCGTTAACTAATCTGGAGGACTGCCAAGAAGAGAGAGTGTCTGTTATCCGGCGAACAATTAGAAGACAATTTCGCGACTCAAAGACAACGTCCCGTCGCGTTATTTTCATCAGGGAAAATAGATTCCCCTCTGTCGTTGCCTAAACAATTCTCCTCAAATTATCGTGACGAAATAAACGTCACGAAATTCCCATTTAATCCCATCCTTCATTCCACAAATTCATCTCGAAGTTTCTGTAATTCTTCTCTCGTAAATCACCGGAGATTCCGCGAATAAAAATACGAAACTTTCCGACAGGGACAGATTTGTGTCTATCGTTGGCCACATCCGAGCAACCAGCCCTGCAAGACGAGAAACGGAAGAAACGTGGCCAATGGTCTGTGCATAGATTATCCACATTCAGAGCCAGTCAAAGTTCTAGTCCGACTTTACGTCGTGAAAGGTGAGCAAAACGCGACATTTATACGTGGAATAAACTCATGGGAACGAATCGATCCTCCATCCGTAGGCGTCAACTTGCAGCCTAACGATCCCCTCAGCGGAAAGTCTGACCCGTATCTTTGCGTTCGCCTCGGGAAAATGTACATCAACGACAAGAAGAATTATATACCGAACCAGTTAAATCCCACCTTTGGCCGGTATACTTTAATTTCGTTGACGGCCTGTCGCATTTTCTACGACACATTATAATTCTTTCATCCACTTTTTCCCTGGAAATTGCTACCTTTTGACAGGGCCCTTTCAAACGCCATTCATTTTTATAATTTCCTGACTGAGAGAAGCCATTAAAATTTGTTCTGATTAATAACCTAAAAGCTGTACTTTTTCTTTATTCTTTTTTTTTTCTCGAAGTGATCTTTCCAGGCAATATTTCCTTTTACGTAGAGGAATTACCGAAATCACTCGAAATTGGAATTAATGTAGATATTTTTAGGAAATGACCGAGAATTTCAGGTTATTTCGAAAAATGTTTAAATTAAAATAAAGTGTAAACGAATCATACTGTACGATAAAGCAACAGAACAGATTAACTAAAAAATTCACGTTCAAAATTAAACGGTCATGCATTCATCTAACTCATCTCTACCACTCTTCTCCTTTTTCCTGGTTCTTCCAACATCCCTCCAAAAATAATACGCAATAAATAAGACACACACGCACTGATACACTATAATTTTCAATAAATTATACAATCCGAAAATGGCTTGTCACTGAAAAATTTAATCGCAGGAGTTCATAATTCTAGAATTCATTTCTGTGGAAGTAGTTATTTTCACACCACTAGCACACTTTCGCTAGATCGTTCGCGTAGATCAGATCGCGTCAGATGCTTCATGATCGACAGGCTCTTCGAGATAGACGCCACTTTCCCCAAAGATTACCTGATGACCGTTCAAGTGTGGGACTACGACGCCACCTCGAATGACGATCTGATAGGCGAGACGAAGATCGACCTGGAGAATCGATTCTACAGCAGACATCGTGCTACGTGTGGTATGTCGAGGATCTATAACGTGGAGGGCTACAATAGGTGGAGGGATCGCGAGAAACCGACGCAGATACTGGAACAACTCTGCAAGAGGAGCAATCTGCCTTTGCCAGAGTATGAAAGCGATTATGTACAAATTGGACGAAAAAAATTCCTCTTTGACGACGACGAGATAGAAACAGGTTCGTTTTAAATATTAATCGTTCGAGTTTGGAAGGGAATCGCGACCTCGGGATGAACTCTATTTGATCAATGATTGATGATTCCTATTCAGACAGGGAAGAATGCATGGCGTTGAACGGGCTTCATCAGTGGCAAGATTTTCCAATTTGCGGCTGCGCCCTGGTACCAGAGCACATCGAAAGACGACCGCTTTTCAACGTCGCCAGACCTGGATTGGAGCAGGTTGTAAAAAAGACCAGTTCAGTTCGTTTAACGACAAAAATTGAGTCGCTTGAGAAAGAACTAGAGCTTATCTAAACTTTTGATAAGTCAAAGTCTCTTTGGAGGGGAACATGAAACGAAAAATCGTGCCGGAATTCGCTTCTCTTTCGTTTTACTTTTGTTCCTTTTCGACTAAAGCCGGCTATGGACAAAGTAAATGTAAATTGTCGAGTCGCTTTTCGAGCTGTTAAATTGTTCGTTGATCTTTTTAAAAGCATCTGCATGTTTGATCAATTGTTTTCAGGGTAAATTGGAACTTTGGGTCGACATGTTCCAATCTGACGAGATTCCTCCGAAACCGCCTGTGGACATCAGTCCGCCTGTGCCCGAGGAGTATGAAATTCGCGTGGTCGTTTGGAACACCGAAGATATACCCCTCGTCGACAGTCAATTTCTCACCGGGGAAAAGTGCTCGGACATTTATGTGAAAGGGTAGGTTGGAAAAAATGGCAGACGGAATAAATAGAACATTAATAATAATATTAAAGAGAATAATTCTTTTTAGCCATGAACCTATCGATGATTACGAAATTTTACACTGACAATCATCAATTTCTAGATTTACTATCATCTTAAAGTATCACTTTAGGAAGAAGAAATAGACCAAGGAAAAAGCAAATAAATCCCTTATATTTAACATTAAAATCACAGACACCTTTTTGTTGATTTTGCATTCACTCATTCACGGATTTGAGGGTCAACTGTGCCCTTCGCCTGAATTAGTCCAACAGACTGAGACTCGTTCGAAACCCACCAACATAATCTCTGAATCTCAGATTATGAGGTCACATAGAATTCTTAATTCCAATGCTTTCTTACGAGGGAGAGAAAATATATAACCCAAGCTATCAAGTAGAGACCTTAACCTTGAAAATTATCATCCCACCTTCTTACTAAGTATTTACGAATTTAAAATGTAATCTTCCGTTTCAATGCTTTCTTACGAGGGATTGAAAATGTACAACCCGAGCTATCAGATAGAGAACTTAACCTTGAAAATCTTCGTTTCATTCCTTCTCTGAATATTTACGAATTTTAAATACAACCCTCAATTTCGGTGCTCTCTTATAAGGGAGAGAAAACATATAACCCAAGCTATCAGATTAATCCTGGAACGTTTTATCTTTACGAATTTAAAGTATAACCCTGAAACCCTGTTTCGAACGATCAATTCCAGCTGGATTGTTTACGACGATTACCAAAAGACCGATATCCATTACAACTCGCTGAACGGTGAGGGCAACTTCAACTGGCGTTTCGTGTTTCGCGTAACATATTCGAAGGGTGAGCGTGTTATGATCGTACGTAAGAAAATATCCGTCTTCGCCAGAAGCGAGACCGAGGACAAACTGCCGTGTAAATTGCATCTACAAGTCTGGGATAGCGATCATTTCTCTCCGGATGACTTTCTCGGTAAAAAAAGCAGTCCATCAATTGTCACACTCGTCCATTAACAGGATCGCGCTGAATATTTCATCCTACCTAGGTGCATTGACACTGGATCTGTCCAGAATGCCCAGAGGAAGCGGGAATTCTAAAAACTGCACTCTCAAACTGCTCGACCCAAGCTTGCCTACCATCGATCTCTTCAAAATAACACGGATTAAAGCGTGGTGGCCATTTGAACGAAGCGTGAACGCTGTTCAACGCGTACAAGCGGTTCGTATCGTAAAAAGAGCCTGTTTATTAACCTTTCGTCGAAACGAATGTTTGCTATAGCCCGCATCGATGTTACAATTGTACAGTCTGCACGGTGAACCGAATTAATTCGTGAAATTTTCCCTAAAACGAGAGATTTACCGATCTCTTTCAACTTGTTCGCATTCACAGTAAAATTCAGAAAAATCTTCAATATACAGGGTGTAAAAGAGAACAAATACTTAGTGAAATATACGCTTTCAAAGACTGGCGCCATTTACGTTGGAAAGTTGCAATAGATATTCAAGATCGTAACAGTGATTAACCCCTTAACCTACGATTCTTTTTCTGACTATGCGTCTAATAAGGGAACTTCGGTAACCCGAAATGTCCGATTTTTTTAAACTTTGTGGGTTTGTAGGGGACCTCGAGAGAAGTATCGAGCAATTTTTTGTTTTGGCCCAATTTCGGTTCTTCGGGGTGAAAACAGCCCTTGAATGAAGATAAGTGTTACCCTATTTCCCTTCAAAACTATAGTAAATATTAAAAAATGTTTAGAATAAAAATTTAATGGCTTTTTATGCCTTATAAGACTGTGCTATTAAATTAATGAAAACTCTTTTTTTAAATAAAAAATCTTCCACTACCGTTGTTATGAAAAATTTTTAATTTTCTATCATATCGAAAAATATGTCAAATAAATGCAGATAAGTACCAAAATATCAAACATCTTTTTATATCTACTATTGTTTTAAAGATATACAGGGAAATAGGGTAACACTTATCTTCATTCAACGGATATTACGCTATCCGTGCACAATTCCTCGTGGAAACTTCCATAACGATCGCGGTGAAAAATTATTCATTCGCTTCGACTGCTTTTATTATTTTTTCCTTTTTCATTTTACAAAAAGCATTCATAAAATATCGAAGCAAACTCACGCGACGTGATGTATCGATTCAGGGCAAAGTCGAACTGGAAATGTCAATATCGCCAGCGGAGGAGGCTGACGAGCAACCGGCGGGCAAAGGAAGAGATTCGCCACAAAGTCTTCCACCTCCCAAGTAATTCGAAACTTAATTAAGCACGGAACTCCGTGACGAATTTGTAAGAAGAATATTTGATAGTTCGTGACAGATATTTCTTTGTATAAATTCAAATTAACGGGGAAACTATTTCTTCAGAAACTTCTTTAATTTCCTGTTCCTCGTTTGATACAAAATTCGCCCTGATTTCTGTCCAACAACCTTTGACGCGGAGTTCTTAAAAATATGTTCAACGCGAATCAACGAAAAATTCTTTCTCTTCCTATATGAAAATATTTTCGAGAAACTGTTAACCCGTAAACGTCCAAATTATTTTTTTTTCATATTTGACATTTGTTTAAAATAAGACACTTGGTGGTTAATGCATTCGTGAAAATTAGATACACGGTTTTTTTTTTAAAGTGATATAAGTCCATTTATTCTTATATTGAGATATTTAAAGGTTTGCCTTTGAATTAATTAAAGAATATTGGCAAACGTTAATAATTTCGTATAATATTTCTAAAATTGTAAACACGTTAAATTTTATTATGCGATAATAATTGTTAAAACTGTTAAAGAAAAGCAAGGTTTTTTTCAACTACAAATGGACTTATACCACTTTCAAAAAACGTATTTAACATTTAACAGTTAAACTTTTCTTAACGAGTTTATGAGGATATTGACTTTGTTTAGCTGAAATTAGCCTTAACTCGTTTTGTTCAAAATTGGACTTATACTACTTTAAAAAAAAAAAAAACAAAAAAAAAACGGCTCAGATATTTAATCATCGAGCTAGAAATTTAACGTTCACCCGACGTCTAAAACGTTAATTTATTCACCGTGGTATAAAGTCGTATAAAATCAGCAATTCAGACGGGGCTGTTGAAATAAAACCGCGGCGATGTACGGTGAAACGATATCAAAGCTAATTCTACGCTCACGCCGCGCCGCGAAATAAAATTAGCGTGGATATCGGTCCCTATCAGACTTAAATGGATTAATGTTCAATTTTGATCGTCAATCTGTCCAACTGCAAGCAACACGGTTAACCGGATTATTTCGTTAAGTCGAGAGAGTTAATTCGAGCGACGGACAGCGTCGCCGATGTATTTCCGGGCAATCTTTAGAAGATCAAGCCCATCCACTTAAACCGCGGACTGTCTGCTTCCCTTCCCCTCGAACCGCTCGAACGAAGAAAGGTTGAAAGATAAAATTAACCCGTGTCCTATTGTACGAATCGCGATACGAAACGTTCAACGTTCGTTTTGTACGGAGTCGATAAGCCGTGGACGTGTATATATGTATAGTCGTCAGGTCATTAGGCGATTTTAATTCTTCGCGATTACCCCATTCTACGGTGCTTCCACGGTACACACTGTGATTCTAAAAACAACTACCGTCTGGGTGACTGAATTCTCATTGTTTCGAGATACGTTTATTTTTACGTTTAAACGAAGTAACATAGAAATATAGCTAAATTAAGTCTCCCCAATGTTCGAACAGTTTCTTACATTTCTTATAACACTTCCAAATTTAACCCCCTCAGAGCATTTCTATTTCCACGTGGTGAATTTGAAACGCAAACACAGTATTGTAGAAAAAAATTAGAAAAAATAAAAATAGACGCGTACGATATATTCGTTGCCAGTGCTCAAAGGGTTAAGACAGCCTTTTCAAACACATCGCCTTTATTCTCCAGAACTGTACATAATTTCCTTTGCTTCGTCTTCCTCATTGTCTCAGTCGTTTTATCCTCGACTTCTACTCTCTTCATCTCTATCATTATTTTACCATATTTTTATTTTACTCTACTTCAGACTGTTTCTTCGCTATTATCCAACGTCTCGCCATTATTTCTATACACCCTTTCGCAACTGCATGATAAACTCGTATTATTATTATTATTACAATTGGACAAAGACTAGCAATCATTCTGTTAACACTGAACAATCAAGTTCAAACGTTCGACAGCTCAGGCAGGGTAACGATCGTCGCTGACCGGCTCGGTGTAATTAAATCCAATCGCACTGGCCGTCATTAAAGCGCCATTATATAATTAAACGGGAATCGGTAACGACCGCGATCGTCCAGATTCGCCGCTGTACGTTTGCTAATCCCGTCTGATTTTTACCACCATTTCTCCACCCCTAATTCTATCTCCTTTTAATTTTCAGCCGACCGGACACTTCGTTCTCTTGGTTCCGGAATCCGTGGAAAGCTTGCCGTTTCGTGGTCTGCCGTTACTACAAATGGCGGATAATATGCTGCTTCACTTGTATACTGTTGGTGTTGCTGGCTGCATGCGCGATCTACGCGTTCCCTGGTTACCTAGTGAAACGTCTTCTCGGTGCTTGAACGAACGAAAATCGTTATCGCGCGGATCGAATCGGAAGCAATCGCAGCTGGCCAGTCGTAAATCAGGAATTGGGTCGTAGGACGGATGAATTATTGATTCTGACCACTTCAGGACAACAGCAGTGCTATTTCGGCACCGTTAATTATGGGATAACACAATGGGCTCGCATGGTTAACGATCATTTTACCAATTAACGACCGCAGTTTATTCGTAAGTTCGCAATTAACGATGTCGCTCTGTTTTCTCCGCACGTGTGTGTCTTTCTCTTTCTCTCTAAAGGACGTGTCGCGTCGAATAAACGGAACAATTCGTCCCGGTATTATTACGGACTTTTAATCGAGTTTGCACAGCTTATACGGCAAAGTGAAAAATATCGTTCACCTATAGAATTCACGTTTAATTTGAAAATATCGGGCTCCGGTTATACGGGGATTGAGGATAATTCGCCGACAAAAAAATTCAAAGAGAAAACGCGAGGTGATTGGAACAATTTCGCGTTTCATGACGGTAAATTGCAAATGGAGAAATTACCGACTGTTCCACGTCACCCGTACACCACCGATTTACCTTTCGCCAACATTTTTCCTCTTTTTTCTCTTCTTTCGCGAATTATTTGCAGAGCGATTCGTCAATTGTTTCTGGGTTTGAGCATTCTAGCATTCGAAAAGAAATTCTCAATATCGGAAATCCGGCGAACTTCGAAGACAAATCGTTGCGAGCGGAATACCGCAGAAAATAGAAAAATGAGAATAGATCGTTATGAAGAAACATATGAATTTTTTGCACGTCTTGCGCTGTCCGAATTGGTCGGAATACGAGAAATGAATATTCCTCAATCTTTATACATCACGTCGTCCTATTTTTCGCTTTCCAAAGTGCGCTGCTTTAGAAATCTCTCAACAAATAGACAAATCTCTCGTCTGGCGGCTGCATTAATCAGATTATAAGCTCGTCACGAGTTCCCGCGTATTTATTATTCTCGCGTCTTCGGTTATTTTTTCGCTTGAAAATTCCCTCCCGCGAAGACGAAACACACGGGCGAATAAAAATACCGCGACTGCTTGATTTCCGTGCGATTCGTGGCACTTTTTAAGGATCATTTGCGGGATGGAAACGCGAGTGCAAGCTCGGTACGGTTCGATGAACGGGCGGCCAGGTGGAAAAGAGGTAACGTGACGTAACGAGAAGATCAATAACTCAACCGTTTTGTTCGAAAGTTTATTGAACTCGACTTTTCTTAAAGCCTACGGCTCACACCGAAGAATCCCCGTGTCGATTTTACAACACCGAACCATTCGGCTCCTTTTGTACCACTTCCTCCTCTTCTTCTCGCCTCTTGATAAACCCCTTTACGGCTGAACTCGAGGGGACGCTTCTAAGTAATCTAATCTTCTTTCCCTGATGCAACTCGGAACAGCGATTCGCGACTTTCCGATGAAACGCGACGCCACGGTGAAATATAAATCCGGCCACTTTTCGTCGATTGTTTCTCGCTTAATTTTTATCGCCAAGTGTCAATTAACGCGGAGAGCTGAGAGCGACGAAAGAGCGAGAGTAGTTGTCGAGTTCTGTTATTCAAAGAGGAATACAGTTTGTCAAATCTAGTTTAAACTGTTACTCAGTTGTTTGAAAAGGACAAAAATTTGTGAATACTGTGAAAGTCCTGCAAAACTCGACGAGTGAAATTTTCAAGCAGCGTAGGAAATGCTTTTGTGAAAAGTGTGTTGAGGTTTTCCTTTGACTCTTCAGAATTATTAGTAATTTTCTCGATTTCTATTTCTCTCGATCGAATTAAGATCAGTGCGATGTTATGAAATATTGTCTTTCATTACCCTAAAGATACATGTCCATCTGAGATTTTTTTTACGATAGTGGCTCTCGAGAGTACTCTCAAATTGTGCGTCCAGCACACTCTCGCCTCGAGAGCAACTCGCGATAATTTTATTCTCAAAGTATTATGAATCGTTTTGTTATTGCATTGTGCAACAGTGTAAAATACACGTATTATTTGTTGTTCTTTAAAGAAGAACGCGTAATTCGAAGTTTCTTCTGCGTGTGAACTTAAAACGAATTTCCGTCTAGATAGCAGATAGTGGAAATATATAGCAAGTTTTATTGGGACACGCTATTGAGACAAATAGGCGTTGTACGTCTTCGTGAAGTGTGTGCACCATGTGGTATATTTCCTTTCTGGACAAAACTTTTATCACCATTACTGCTCGTTATTGATACTGAGATTTTCTCGAAACTCGCGTTCTTCGAATTTCCCTCGTGAAATGGAAGCCCACTCTGTCGCGAACTTTCCCTATTTTCGTTCGACGAATTCGTCGAGTACGACAGGTCGCTGATGCACGAAATATGTATAGGTATCGCGTTCCATGACAATTGCCATTTTATCCCTAGTCTAAACAAAGGAAATTTTATGCTACTCGTATGCGGCATTTAATGTGGCATTTCATCTGTGACAGTTTCATCTGCACCAACTAAATGTATCGAAGAATTGCCAATTGAAGGTGACATCATTCGAATTCGATTTATGTGATTAAACAAAGGAAATTCTGTGCTATTCGCGATCGACAGTTTCATCTGCACCAACTAAATGTATCGAAGAATTGCCAATTGAAGGTGACATCATTCGATTTATGATTTATGTGATTTAGTTTGAAAATTTGCAGCTATAGTACTGTGCAATTTTTAATTCTGCGTTTGTGGAAGGCAACATAATGTTAAGATGGTTATGGAATAAAAGAGTGACTCCTGATCGAAAAGCTTCGATACTTAAGCAACTTATAATAAAGGAAAGAAAGAACCCAATAAAGTAAGACTTATAAAATATAAATATATTTGGTTCACAGGAGTGTTTCAATACGTTGGAACAAATAAAACTCGATGAAAACGAGTGTGTATTCTGAAAGATTATTTTTCCACGTATCCCTTGAAAGTCTATTCGTTACAATTACTAATTTCTTCTCGGACTTATGCTGTTTCGAAGGTAAAAGAAAATGCAGCACATTTTCGACGTATAACGTTATTCTTTTACGAAAAAGAGAAAAATGCCACTGAAACAGCAAACGAAGTATGCAATGTTTGCAAAAAATTGTTCGCCAATGGTTTACAAAATTTAAAGATGGAAATTTTTATTTTGAAGATAACAACAAAAGAAGAAATTTTTTGGCAATATGGAATTTTCAAATTGCCGGAAGACGGCGACAAGTCGTAGAACAAAACGGTACACATCTTATAGAATAAAAAAATTAACGAGTTTTCTGAAAAAGGTCCCACAAACTAGTGAATTCAGTAAATCGCTTTGGAAGTTTTAGTTTAACCTACAGATTAACTGTACACGATTCAACAATAAGTGTTGCTCTGATCGATGGAACATTGAAACGAAATTTGGAGGGAAAATTTCTAAACATATTGCGGTTAATTAAAAAGGGTTTACCAAAAAAGAACCTATGGACCTATAGTGTCTCTCTTCTAGAAAGCTTCTCAATTATTGCTTCAAAGTATGGAATTTACTTGTTTACTTAAAAATTGGCACGAATTGTCCGGCGAAATCCAATAAGTGTATCTAATTTCTAACTCACATGGTCTCATAAAGGGTTAAACCCTTGAAAAATTAAAGGGTTGACAATGGTTATTAACGGTACCATTCGCTGTACTCAGCTATTGCAATTAATAAATTTTTACACACAAATTATTCCGCTTAGACCTGCTCGATCTTTCTTGCCTCAAAGAATTTGTGAAACTGCGAACCGGCACGCACAACATTTAGTTTTTCAATGTTTATACTCGCTCCCTCATAACACACATTGACAGAGTCTTGTAAGTTTCTCATTTTGAATTCGCGTCCGTTAGTATTTCTTGTTTACCTATTCTTGCGCAATCTAACGTGAAATCTTCCCGTAAAAACAAGTAAATAAATAAACAAGCCGAACCTAGAACTCAACATAGAACACACCCCTTTAGCAAAGCACGGTCGAATTGGCAGTAACATTAACAAATTAGGAAAATCGAGTAACAAATGGATCCAGTAGTACGAGCGCATTGAATCGAAACACGAGGCAAAGTACTTGAAACAAAACAACGCCGACGAATCAATGACCGCGGCGGCAGGCGAAAGGGGTGAGTACACGCGAACCTGCATACGGTCCCGGGGCTGGCGAATCCATAGTTTACGACCGCACTCGCGTTGCATGCGGCCTGTCGAAAAACCAGGTCTCTGAGAAACCGTTAAACAGTCTGAAAACAAGGGAGTTTCGCGAGCTTGAATGATCCTCCGTCCCGCGGCGTTCACCACCACCCCGATACGGAGTTTGTCAGCTAAGTTTTCGGCCCGAACGAACGTGAATTCACTTATTACGGGGAGGACGAAGTCACGCGAATGCATATGCACCGACTAGCAGGGAATGCATGCACCGAATCGCACCGCCCCGTCGACTAAACTTGGTCTTAATGCATCGCGTGCCCTATCCGACCAAGTATCTCCCGATTGCAGGCCAATGACCCCTGCTACCCAGCCCGATGAAAAGTTTCCGCTAGTTTCGCGATAACGTCGAGTCTTCACCCTGTGACCCCGAGGCTGAGATCTTCCATACCCCCAGTGTGAATTTACGATGGAATTATTGCAATGCGGCAGGCCGGTTGATACCTCGACCAGGATTTCTGCAATTTTCTGATTATCATCTTGCTTGTCGTTGATCTTGGCCTTTGTGTTTCTTGTGTTCGTTGACGTGTCAGCTGGAAATGACATTCCTCGGTGCTAGAAGCTTTTAGGATTTCTTCTTCATTTGCATACCGGAGTAAAAGAGGTTTTATCGTAGTACTCGTGAGTAGGTATAAAATGGAGAATACTTTAATGGACAATTTTTTGTTTTATTGAATTATGCAACTGCATAAGGTTGAAGATAAGAATATAAGCAAACAGAAGGGACGTTTTCTTGGTAAATACTGGGAACGTTTTTCTGAAGGACTTTCTCAGACTCTGAGAAGTCTACGA